AAGGGGGGCTGAGGCATCCTAGGCCTGCCCTGTAACCTGATGACATCTGTGCTGTGCTGTATGCTGGTGAAGCAATAAACCACCTCTATTCTACTGGCTGGTGTTGTCTGTTCGTGCCATTTCAGGGGTGCAGGAGACGGGGAACCCCCAACGCGTTGTCACAGGGGGGCGGGCTCCCGAGGGTGCAGCCCTGTGGGGAGCACTAGGTAGCGTGTGGCCAGGATCCCGGGCTGCAAAGGGCTCGCTCAGACACAGACACATCGGTGCCCCAGGAACGTTTCCTGCCAAATGTCGGTGCCAGGTGCGCTTGGGCATCTGCAGAATTCCGGGGGAGCCGAGCAGGGCAGGGAACGGGGGAAGCTGGGTCCCATATTAGGCCTGGCTCCGGAATTGATTCAGCCCCTTGGTATCTAGGGGGCTTAAGGAGGTGGAGAACGTTGGATTTATGTGAATGAATTAGCCTGAAAACTCAACTGTGCATGAGGGAAGGAGGCGCTGCCCGGCTGCTCCGTCCCACCATGACAAGAAGGACTCTCCCTGCAGGACCCCTCTGCGAGCCAACACACCAACATCTGGAGCGAACCAACTAACCCACAGAAAGGAACGAGCAAAACGTGTCCCTGGCAGAGATTTCAGTCCCAAGGCAGCAGAGACAAACCCACCAGCGAATGGCCCCCAAGGCGCGGTAACAGCAGCTGAAAGGCCCCAGGTCACTCAGAGGGGTCTAGGCGCGTGTCTGGCTGCACAGGGCAGGCCAGATTCTGGCTCACACTAGGGTAAATCTCTGCCGGACACCGTGTAGGATTGCAGAGATAGGGTCCGAGAATAAAAGGCCCCGAGCCCACCGAATTTCGCTGCCGTTTGGGCTTTGAATTCCAGGGGCTGTTTTGAAATCCCCACCAAAGCCGCAGAAGAACGGGGAGGTTTCTCTTCCCCACGTTTTTCTTCATTCCTGAGAAGGTCCTGCTCCACGCTGACATTTGGCTGAGAATTTAAAAGAATATTTGTTTTCCTCTGAGAATATTAAATGGCACAAAGTGATTTATTGAAATTCATTTTGGGCTGCCAAATACCTTGGCCAGTTTCACACTTTGCTCACTTGAATTCATTGTCTGGCTGGGGAGGGGAAAGAAGCATCTTAGGGAGAGGCCCTCACTTGTAGACAGAGCTCGCCCCCTTTCTTCATTTATAGTCATGCTAGGAACCCAGCATGCAAATCCCTGCCTCGCCCGGTCCTTGTTAAATTCATCCTCTGAGTGGAGGAGCCTCAGTCTCCACCCCAGATACAGACCTTGCCAAGTGATGCAACATGGGATGAAGATGGAGAGCCCGTGGTGGAACCCCAGAACAGGTTAGGAACTATTTAGAAAAGCTAAACGTACATAAATCCATGGGTCCGGACTTAGTGCATCCGAGGGTACTGAGGGAGTTGGCAAATGTCATTGTGGAGCCTTTGGCTATTATCTTTGAAAAGTCGTGGAGATCGGGAGAAATCCCGGGTGACTGGAAAAAGGCAAATGTAGAGCCCATCTTCAAAAAAGGGAAGAAGGACGATCCAGGGATCTATAGGCCAGTCAGTCTTACCTCGATTCCTGGAAAAATCATGGAAGGGATCCTTAAGGAATCCATATTGAGGCACTTGGATGAGAGGAAAGTGATTAGAAATAGTCAGAATGGATTCACAAAGGGCAAGTCATGTCTGACCAATCTGATTAGCTTCTATGATGAGGTAAGTGGCTCGGTGGACATGGGGAAGTCAGTGGATGTGATATACCTTGACTTTAGCAAGGCTTTTGATACGATCTCCCACAATATTCTTGCCAGCAAGTTAAGGGATTGTGGATTGGATAAATGGACGGTAAGATGGATAGAAAGATGGCTAGAAGGCCGGGCCCAGCGGGTAGTGATCAATGGCTTGATGTCAGGATGGCGGTCGGTTTCTAGCGGAGTGCCCCAAGGTTCGGTTCTAGGAACGGTTTTGTTCAATATCTTTATTAATGATCTGAAAGAGGGGATGGATTGCACCCTCAGCAAGTTTGCGGATGACACTAAGCTGGGGGGAGAGGTAGATACGCTTAAGGGCAGAGATAGGGTACAGAATGACTTAGACAAATTGGAGGATTGGGCCAAAAGAAATCTGATGAGGTTCAACAAGGACAAGTGTAGAGTCCTGCACATGGGATGGAAGAATCCCAAGCATAGTTACAAGCTGGGGACCAACC